GAGGGGAAAGGAGAGAGACCAGCAGTGGGAGGGTGGGTGAGCGAGGCAAGGGAAAGATATGGAGAGGGGAAGATGGGCACCGTAGGAGGATGAGGGTACGGATTGGGACAGGGAAGGAGAAGGGAGGTACCCAGTTCACGCTAAATTTAGCGCGGGAATTGACGTCGTGACGACGTCCCGTGACCTCTACACCAATCCCGCTTCCCCGTTAAAGGTAGCGGGAAAGCGCTGTAGGGGGTATCCCCGTTAAATGTAACGGGAAAGCCCTCTAGGGGGGTGGGAAGGAACGGGGAGGAGGGGAAAGGAAAGAGACCAGCAGTGGGAGGGTGGGTGAGCGAGGCAAGGGAAAGATATGGAGAGGGGAAGATGGGCACCGTAGGAGGATGAGGGTACGGATTGGGACAGGGAAGGAGAAGGGAGGTACCCAGTTCACGCTAAATTTAGCGCGGGAATTGACGTCGTGACGACGTCCCGTGACCTCTACACCAATCCCGCTTCCCCGTTAAAGGTAGCGGGAAAGCGCTGTAAGAGGGTATCCCCGTTAAATGTAACGGGAAAGCCCTCTAGGGGGGCGGGGAAGGAACGGGGAGGAGGGGAAAGGAGAGAGACCAGCAGTGGGAGGGTGGGTGAGCGAGGCAAGGGAAAGATATGGAGAGGGGAAGATGGGCACCGTAGGAGGATGAGGGTACGGATTGGGACAGGGAAGGAGAAGGGAGGTACCCAGTTCACGCTAGCGCGGGAATTGACGTCGTGACGACGTCCCGTGACCTCTACACCAATCCCGCTTCCCCGTTAAAGGTAGCGGGAAAGCGCTGTAGGGGGTTATCCCCGTTAAGTGTAACGGGAAAGCCCTCTAGGGGGGTGGGAAGGAACGGGGAGGAGGGGAAAGGAGTGGGACCAGCAGTGGGAGGGTGGGTGAGCGAGGCAAGGGAAAGATATGGAGAGGGGAAGATGGGCACCGTAGGAGGATGAGGGTACGGATTGGGACAGGGAAGGAGAAGGGAGGTACCCAGTTCACGCTAAATTTAGCGCGGGAATTGACGTCGTGACGACGTCCCGTGACCTCTACACCAATCCCGCTTCCCCGTTAAAGGTAGCGGGAAAGCGCTGTAGGAGGGTATCCCCGTTAAATGTAACGGGAAAGCCCTCTAGGGGGGCGGGGAAGGAACGGGGAGGAGGGGAAAGGAAAGAGACCAGCAGTGGGAGGGTGGGTGAGCGAGGCAAAAAAAAGATATGGAGAGGGGAAGATGGGCACCGTAGGAGGATGAGGGTACGGATTGGGACAGGGAAGGAGAAGGGAGGTACCAAGTTCATGCTAAATTTAGAGCGGGAATTGACGTCGTGACGACGTCCCGTGACTTCTACACCAATCCCGCTTCCCCGTTAAAGGTAGTGGGAAAGCGCTGTAGGAGGGTATCCCCGTTAAATGTAACGGGAAAGACCTCTAGGGGGGCGGGGAAGGAACGGGGAGGAGGGGAAAGGAAAGAGACCAGCATTGGGAGGGTGGGTGAGCGAGGCAAAGGAAAGATATGGAGAGGGGAAGATGGGCACCGTAGGAGGATGAGGGTACGGATTGGGACAGGGAAGGAGAAGGGAGGTACCAAGTTCATGCTAAATTTAGAGCTGGAATTGACGTCGTGACGACGTCCCGTGACTTCTACACCAATCCCGCTTCCCCGTTAAAGCTAGCGGGAAAGCGCTGTAAGAGGGTATCCCCGTTAAATGTAACGGGAAAGCCCTCTAGGGGGCGGGGAAGGAACGGGGAGGAGGGGAAAGGAAAGAGACCAGCAGTGGGAGGGTGGGTGAGCGAGGCAAGGGAAAGATATGGAGAGGGGAAGATGGGCACCGTAGGAGGATGAGGGTACGGATTGGGACAGGGAAGGAGAAGGGAGGTACCAAGTTCATGCTAAATTTAGAGCGGGAATTGACGTCGTGACGACGTCCCGTGACTTCTACACCAATCCCGCTTCCCCGTTAAAGGTAGTGGGAAAGCGCTGTAGGAGGGTATCCCCGTTAAATGTAACGGGAAAGCCCTCTAGGGGGGCGGGGAAGGAACGGGGAGGAGGGGAAAGGAAAGAGACCAGCAGTGGGAGGGTGGGTGAGCGAGGCAAAGGAAAGATATGGAGAGGGGAAGATGGGCACCGTAGGAGGATGAGGGTACGGATTGGGACAGGGAAGGAGAAGGGAGGTACCAAGTTCATGCTAAATTTAGAGCTGGAATTGACGTCGTGACGACGTCCCGTGACTTCTACACCAATCCCGCTTCCCCGTTAAAGGTAGCGGGAAAGCGCTGTAAGAGGGTATCCCCGTTAAATGTAACGGGAAAGCCCTCTAGGGGGCGGGGAAGGAACGGGGAGGAGGGGAAAGGAAAGAGACCAGCAGTGGGAGGGTGGGTGAGCGAGGCAAGGGAAAGATATGGAGAGGGGAAGATGGGCACCGTAGGAGGATGAGGGTACGGATTGGGACAGGGAAGGAGAAGGGAGGTACCCAGTTCACGCTAGCGCGGGAATTGACGTCGTGACGACGTCCCGTGACCTCTACACCAATCCCGCTTCCCCGTTAAAGGTACCGGGAAAGCGCTGTAGGGGGTATCCCCGTTAAATGTAACGGGAAAGCCCTCTAGGGGGGCGGGGAAGGAACGGGGAGGAAGGGAAAGGAGAGAGACAAGCGGTGGGAGGGTGGGTGAGCGAGGCAAGGGAAAGATATGGAGAGGGGAAGATGGGCACCGTAGGAGGATGAGGGTACGGATTGGGACAGGGAAGGAGAAGGGAGGTACCCAGTTCACGCTAAATTTAACGCGGGAATTGACGTCGTGACGACGTCCCGTGACTTCTACACCAATTCCGCTTTCCCGTTAAAGGTAGCGGGAAAGCGCTGTAGGAGGGTATCCCCGTTAAATGTAACGGGAAAGCCCTCTAGGGGGGCGGGGAAGGAACGGGGAGGAGGGGAAAGGAAAGAGACCAGCAGTGGGAGGGTGGGTGAGCGAGGCAAGGGAAAGATATGGAGAGGGGAAGATGGGCACCGTAGGAGGATGAGGGTACGGATTGGGACAGGGAAGGAGAAGGGATGTACACAGTTCACGCTAAATTTAGCGCGGGAATTGACGTCGTGACGACGTCCCGTGACTTCTACACCAATCCCGCTTCCCCGTTAAAGGTAGCGGGAAAGCGCTGTAGGGGGGTATCCCCGTTAAATGTAACGGGAAAGCCCTCTAGGGGGGTGGGAAGGAACGGGGAGGAGGGGAAAGTAGTGAGACCAGCAGTGGGAGGGTGGGTGAGCGAGGCAAGGGAAAGATATGGAGAGGGGAAGATGGGCACCGTAGGAGGATGAGGGTACGGATTGGGACAGGGAAGGAGAAGGGAGGTACACAGTTCACGCTAAATTTAGCGCGGGAATTGACGTCGTGACGACGTCCCGTGACTTCTACACCAATCCCGCTTTCCCGTTAAAGGTAGCGGGAAAGCGCTGTAGGAGGGTATCCCCGTTAAATGTAACGGGAAAGCCCTCTAGGGGGGCGGGGAAGGAACGGGGAGGAGGGGAAAGGAAAGAGACCAGCAGTGGGAGGGTGGGTGAGCGAGGCAAAGGAAAGATATGGAAAGGGGAAGATGGGCACCGTAGGAGGATGAGGGTACGGATTGGGACAGGGAAGGAGAAGGGAGGTACCCAGTTCACGCTAAATTTATCGCGGGAATTGACGTCGTGACGACGTCCCGTGACTTCTACACCAATCCCGCTTTCCCGTTAAAGGTAGCGGGAAAGCGCTGTAGGAGGGTATCCCCGTTAAATGTAACGGGAAAGCCCTCTAGGGGGGCGGGGAAGGAACGGGGAGGAGGGGAAAGGAAAGAGACCAGCAGTGGGAGGGTGGGTGAGCGAGGCAAGGGAAAGATATGGAGAGGGGAAGATGGGCACCGTAGGAGGATGAGGGTACGGATTGGGACAGGGAAGGAGAGTGGAGGTACCCAGTTCACGCTAAATTTAGCGCGGGAATTGACGTCGTGACGACGTCCCGTGACCTCTACACCAATCCCGCTTCCCCGTTAAAGGTAGCGGGAAAGCGCTGTAGGGGGGTATCCCCGTTAAATGTAACGGGAAAGCCCTCTAGGGCGGTGGGAAGGAACGGGGAGGAGGGGAAAGTAGTGAGACCAGCAGTGGGAGGGTGGGTGAGCGAGGCAAGGGAAAGATATGGAGAGGGGAAGATGGGCACCGTAGGAGGATGAGGGTACGGATTGGGACAGGGAAGGAGAAGGGAGGTACCCAGTTCACGCTAAATTTAGCGCGGGAATTGACGTCGTGACGACGTCCCGTGACCTCTACACCAATCCCGCTTCCCCGTTAAAGGTAGCGGGAAAGCGCTGTAGGGGGTTATCCCCGTTAAATGTAACGGGAAAGCCCTCTAGGGGGGTGGGAAGGAACGGGGAGGAGGGGAAAGGAGTGAGACCAGCAGTGGGAGGGTGGGTGAGCGAGGCAAGGGAAAGATATGGAGAGGGGAAGATGGGCACCGTAGGAGGATGAGGGTACGGATTGGGACAGGGAAGGAGAAGGGAGGTACCCAGTTCACGCTAAATTTAGCGCAGGAATTGACGTCGTGACGACGTCCCGTGACCTCTACACCAATCCCGCTTCCCCGTTAAAGGTAGCGGGAAAGCGCTGTAGGGGGGTATCCCCGTTAAATGTAACGGGAAAGCCCTCTAGGGGGGTGGGGAAGGAACGGGGAGGAGGGGAAAGGAGAGAGACCAGCAGTGGGAGGGTGGGTGAGCAAGGCAAGGGTAAAGTCCCTCGATGTTTCTTCACTGCGTTTTACAAGTACCGTCATTCTTTGCCGCGCCGACATCTGTTTCTATTGGAGGAGAGCGATGTCACGTGATTTCCGGATTTGTCGCCACTTCCGTCCGCCATTTGCCTCCAAGCTGCTCGGCTGCTCCGTCCGCTCGCGTGTTTCGTGATACTCGCCGACGACTTTAGCTCGACGTCCTGGTGTTTCTGGACCGTAATGGGGCAAGTGAAGTAGTAAGCGTTTGTGTTAGATGACGGGGTGTTGCGCTTTTGGGTGCAGCCAGAGTTCTGGTAGTGGAAAAAAGTTGTTCGCCGTTCCGCTTCGAAAAGCCGATCTGAAGAGGCAGAAGGTATGGCTCCATATGATTGGGAGAAAAAACTTCGTCCCTACCAGAAGCAGCAAGCTTTGTGAGGTGAGCATTTCTGGGCTAGTTTACCTCTTCCACACACGTTCACATAGGTACACATGCAATGTTTTTCCTGACGCGCCTGACTGCCGAACTCGGTCTCAGCTGAAATGCGGCCTCGGTGCTCTGCCGTTTTAGCCTGTTCTTTTTCACTCGAAAACCCGGTTGTTCGCCGGCAAAGTTTTTCGCGTAGTCTGAGTTTTTAAGGGACACGATATGAATGGATGAAGCCGCCGATTGGCCGCTTCAGCTGTGAGTGTCTCGCAGTGAACCTCTAGGAAACACGAAAAGCTACTACCGAGGACAACATGAGCCGAAAACGCCTTTCATACTTCTTTGGCTCACCACCTGTTTTTAAGAGAGCTGTGGTCCAAACTAGGAATAGAAAGCGAAGTTGAGGAATAATGGAGCTTGTGGGAGTCGCAGAAAAAGGTTGGGTCGGGTGTTCCAGCTCGTACTGTCCGCGCGCGGGGAGGGCGTACAATGCGCGGCACTGTTAGCGCGAACAGAGCATCGGTGTCTCTACGTATTTTACTTCCATGGAGTGCTGCTTTGCACCAAATTTTACCGCTTAGGATAGCGTCCCAAATTAGCCCTTCCCACTGCACTAGCTGTTTTGATGACGAATTTGTGATTCCGATAGAGAAAAAAGCGGCGATCACTCTTCTGTACTACTGTACTAACAGTGTGACGCTCTCTACCTCCAAACAAAGTCGAATTTTTTAGTGTTCTCAGTGCACTGTCCCGTGAATTGCAAGTTAGCCCTGTTCATTCTCGACAGGACCATTTCGCACCGGATCAGTTTGAACCTCGGATCTGGCCGAGCCATGGCATCAAAACACTTAAACCAGACGCTGTCCCCACCAAGTTTAGCCATAGGCTGCCAAAGCCAGTTCGAAGACCACCGCAAGAAAGGGAAATGGGAAACATCCAAGGCAAGTTGACACAGTCAGAGATGGTGAATTCGCAGTCACTTGGTTGCTAGATTTGGTATTAAAATGCTACCTATTTTAAGCAGGGGAGCCAATGCAGGAGGAAGACAGCATCCAGACGCTTCCATTTCTGGATTCAACTGCTGCTCTCACAGGTGTCGTATTTCCTCCTTCACAGATTATTGAGAATATGCTTGTCCAAGGTGATGAATTAATGCAAGTAGCATTGAACTGCATACTGACAAAGTTTACAATTTCAGCACAATTGCCTTGCCCACGCACACAGAGGCACAATCCAGCAAAGTGCAAAACTGTGACCAGGAGTCTGTGCCTCAGGCGGGCCCTCCAGTTGGTTAGTCACACGCAATTCCAGCATTTTATTAGCCGGGCACACGCAGCGACATGCAGTCACAATCATCCTTAACTCGAGCGTGTGCCAGGCATACTCTGGGCTAATTCTTCCGTTCCTTCTTTTTCGGCCTGTATTTGCCCATCTCAAATGTGGTATGTGCTTTCTTGGGCATTCCTGCAACAATTGACTATCCTGCCATGCGTATATGTGCAGTATGTACCCAGGACATCATTAAAAAGTATTGGCATTTATGTCAGCATGCTCTTCTTTGCTTTGGGTAAGTGTTGATTTGCACCATACATGCGTCCGTGCCAGGGGCGGATGCAAACATTTCCTGAGGGGAGGGGGGGGGGTCAGGTGTTGGTCAGCGTACCATACGTTTAGGAACCCCCGCCCCCTTGTTTCACGTCCTAAATTTTACACATGCAAAAATCAAGAGGAGTGTTTGTGCCCAATGCGGATGCTGCAGTTGCTGAGTAACATTATGGCCAGACACAAATGCTGCATGACATTGTTAGTGCAAGTACAACTGTGGCACTCTTTGCATTTTACTTTGAATTAGTAAATGCTGACACCAAATAATAGGGTGCAACTTTGTGCCCCATATGAACATTTTTCATTTCTTGTTTGCATTAACAGTGTCGCACTATGTTAGGTCAGAACCATCTTTAACACCAATGGGGTGAGGCGTACGCAATTCATGCCATAGACCGATCTCACCAGCCAGTTTGACTACGCGCCATCGCTGTCGCAATGCATTGAGGGAACTTCAGTCTTTCTGCACGTGCCCGAAACACTGGAACTCTGCGCGTGAGACAGCACAAGCCATTTCGGGCACCACCCTCCACCTATTGTGAACTAAAGTTATGGCGGCTTCATGCATGCGCCGAATGCTTGGTGAGGTGGGTCTATTGGTGGCAGGACGACAACAATTTCTTTCTTTTTGTCTCTATTGGTCCCTCTCAAAACAAATACATTTCTGTGACCATTGACTACTCTGCCATACAAATGTGTGCTGCATGCACCATATTGTGGGGTTTCATTTTGTGCCTACAAAGTTTAAGGGTTCACTGCAAGTCTCGGTACAAAAATCGAACATGGCAGGCTCCATCCTAATAAGAACTGTTGGTCAGTGCTCTGTGCTTAAACAAAGTAAGTCAATGCCAAGGGGTGCAATATTGCTTTTGCATGAAACTACACACACAGTATAAGAGCTTTATGCCCATTCTCGATTAATGCTGCAGGGAGCAGCTCCCTCCACAATTATGAGCATTCCTTATAAAAGTACAAATGACAGCCGTGTGTAGAAGTGAACAACAGGGCTGACGCTGGCTGTTCTCTGCTCGATACTCAGGAGCGGTTCCCTCATTCCTGGCAGCAGGCTCCTCCGTCCAGCCATGTACACCGCAGGGGACGACTGCCTCAAAGGGTGAGACGTTTCCCTGATTGAATGACAGCCATGTGTAGAAGTGAACGACAGGACTGATGCTGGCTGTGCTCTTTGCTCGCTACTCAGGTGCGGTTCCCTCCTTCCTGGCAGCAGGCTCCTCCGTCCAGCTATGTACACCGCAGGGGACGACTGCCTCGAAGGGTAAGACATTTCCCTGAACGAATGACAGTCGGGTGTAGAAGTGAACGGTAGGACTGATGCTGGCTGTGCTTTTTGCTTGCTACTCAGGTGCGGTTCCCTGATTTCTGGCAGCAGGCTCCTCCGTCCAGTCATGTACAGCGCAGTTATGTACACCTCCCCTGGATCCAATAGGTCAATCAATTCTTGGTGCTCCCCTTCTTCGTCATCGGTTGCCCAGATTCCTCGCCAGAAAGTAATCACCTGATCAATATCAATGTTCTCGTCCATCTCCTTCTGGTCTTCGTCAAGTTTCGGGTAGAAGGCAGACCGATTGAGTTCGAACAGCTTGTTCGTTTTCCGATACTCAATCCGGTTTGCCGCAGTGACCGTTTTTTTGTGAAAGACTGCCCTTTCCTCTTCGATCTGGTCCTCAAGCTTCTTCAACTGGTCCTTGTTGTTAGAGTGGTACTGGTTGGCTTTGCAAATTTGTTTTAATGCTCTCGAGGGAGCCTTGTTCTGTTTGACTGGTCACAATTTGCAGATGTTGAATAAGCTCCTTTATCTTTATTTTAATGGCCTCCTTCCAGTTCAACTTCCTTTTGTCACCTCCTCATATAACAGCTGGCAAGCGCAGATCAAATCATTCAGCTCTGCTAGAATATTCACCTTCTCTTCCAGCTCGATCCCGATGACCTGATAGTTTACTTCCTGACTCTATACCTTTCTTGTTCTCTTTCGGTCAGTTTGGTTATTAACGGCCAGCTCAATGTTACTGGCCAGCAGATTCTTTATATTGGTGTACAGTTGGCTGTTTGTTATGGTCGCTGGCAACGGCCATTCTCTTTCTTCGGCCACCTGACCACTGCCCGATTAAGTAGGCTGTTGTTGATTTTTGCACTAGGTCTGCTTGTTTTTCATCGTTGTCGACGTTACATTCTGGTTATGCTTTCGATTATACTTGATTGTTATTTTTGGCCACCAATCATTGGGCATCCGTCCATGTAGTCCTTTACTTCGCTTGATCACCAGGGCCAACCATCTTTCTGGTGTTGTCGTCTCCCTGTCGGCTCGCCTCACAATCTCCGCAAAAGCCACTTCTCTGTCACTGAAAATTCTCATCATCATCGCCATTCAGGTCGGTTGGTGGTCATCGCCAGTTGGTTTGGCACTTTTGTTATCATCGGCAGTGGCTGCTGGGGTTCGTGCTGAGTGCGTCAGTGGCCGTTGCACTCGCGAGACGTCGTTGATTTCGGAGTTTTCAGTTCTAACGCTTGGAGAATTTTTATTTAGCGTTTCCATCCCTGTTTCGCAGTGACACAGTCGTTGGTTTTCCGATAAACACCAGAAAACCAGTATCTCGGCACTCACAAAGTTGGAAAAACAACCACCACGGACATCTTTATCTTTTTGAAGTGTTAATAGGAGAAAAGGAGGACACACTTATATGAAGAGAAAGACAAGGACTTGATCGCATGCAAGAAAAGCATTCATGGCGTCACTGTAAGAGTGCTGGTAGAGTGGGCTGGAGGGGTATGGTGTGCTCATTTTCTGCTTTGGCATAGTAGGCTGGAAGTGATGCTGTGGGTGCCCTTCTTCACACTTCCATCCTGGATCACTAAAATGGAGCGAAATAGGCAATGAGCACACCTTTCTCTCTAACTCGCCCTAGTAGCTGTTTCTTCTTGTGTTATACTTTATTTTAAGCATATTCTCCTAATCTCCTGTGGAATGACTTGTTCGACTGCAACATTGGTTACTTCCTAAATAGATCTTGAATAAAAAAAAATCTGCGTTGTCTTATCCAAGACACTTTCTTAATATCTTCACTACCATGAATACACAAACTGCATACATATCATAACGTGTGGCAGTTAAATTAAATTGCAACAAAGTTGGGCTCTTCCCATATTTACTATTTATGTGCTTTGCATTTGCGTGAACCCAATTACATTAATTATATTTTACTGCACTGCTCATGAGTTTCAACACTTGTCTTTTGAGATATAGAGTATATATAATCGCACGACGAGAGCTGAAATACACAAAAATGTCTGCACAATGCATGTGCTTCGTGTTGTGTTGTCCTTTCTTCCCCCCAATCTCGGGGGTTTTGTCTAAAAAAAATATCTACGTGGATGTTACAGTGGAAGCTAGGCAGAAAAAAGTAGAGACATTAAACACGTTCATAACGAATTCCTTGAACGCGATCTAATAAAATTGGTCTTGGATTCACCGTTTAATGTGGCAAAATAATAAAGTTGTACGCAACATTTCTTCACTGCACGCTGAAGGTATGCTATCCAGCAATCAAAAACAGCGGAAGTTGCCAGATAGAATCCTTCACAGAGTTATTTGAGACCAAACACGGCTCCGCAGTAGAGGTTCGAGGACGAGATTGCCCGTTATCGCATGTGGGGATAACACGTGCGATGGTGTAACTTCATCCGAAATATTGTTTGGGACTGGTGAGTTAAGTGCTGTAAATTCATCCGCATGGATCTCGCACCGTTCAAACTCGTCAAGGTCACTACTTTGCACGACGTTTTTTTTTTTTCATCCAAACACTGCTACTAGTACTTATAACAAAATGCGTGTTGGAGTCATGTAGATACATTCCAAAATAATGAGTTCCAGACGCGTTTGCGTCTACACCGTGCACACGTTTGCGTAGCATTACCAACGCTCGCCACGAGGGAAAATGGTTGCAAACAAAATAGAGTTCTCACAATAGCTTAACCATGCGGTTCTATCGACGACGGAATGAAATTTTCACAAGGCATTTGTCTTTATTACAAATATAAATAGTTTATTGTAACGCAGGCGCGCACATATCTAGCATCGCCGAGAGCATTGCTCGCGGTGGGTGAGCGAGGCAAGGGAAAGATATTGTGGGGACCGTTGGTCGCCCTTCCCCGATGGGCCGGTATAACGGCCGTGGTTCGGGACGCGCGGCCTGGTTGCCGTGAGTTTTAACCTGTTCGTGAAGCGTTGGAGAGCCGCCTGGCTTGGGGGGCTCTCCTCCTCACTCTCTCCCGTGGGGACCTTTTTCCGTCCCCCCGCTCATCCGGGAACCTGTTTGTTTTGGGTGAGGACGACGCCCGCGGGGGGAGGAGGTCGACGCGCGTGCCCGACTTCGGGAACGTGGGGGACTCCTCCCGCGGATGCGATAGAGATCGGACGTGTCGCGAAGGACTTCCTTTGCCCGCTCTGGACTGCGCTCTCGGGACGGTGTCGACAAGGTGAGCCTTTCATCTGACCTTGCCGGCGCGGGGTTTTTGGGGACAGTGTGTCTTTTGGTGTTCCAATAAACACCGCTGGACCCAGTCCTATTGTGGTACGTGCTCCTCCTTTTCAGAGAAGCGATCAGTTGTGCGGCTGACGTTCGGACCCGCCCGTAGCGGTGTTCTCGAGAGAAAGCTGCGGGGTGTGGGAGTA